TTTTTTTTTTTTTTTTTTTTTTTTTTTTTGCTCTTTTTCGCTTTCATTGAATTTTTTGTTTGTTTTTATCATCTCTGTCATTATTGTTATTATTACTATTAATACAATAATTGTTACCATCATCATTGTCACCGTCATCTTCGTCATAAGCATCATCAGTCGTCACTGTTGGCGATATCACCTAAGTATTTATTGCTCAGCTGTACCTTTTACTCCAGCTTTTTTAACTATACATACATATACACATGTACTTTTTTTTGCTCTGATGTAATTATGTTTTCGAGCCGTTTCCGTTCACTTTATTATAATTGGAAAGAAATGAAGAAACGGCCACAACAGATAGTACCGAAGTACACAGGCAATATCTGTGATTTCTGTCTGCCAGTAGTATTTAAAATTACTGTACCAGAAACAGTTCAACAGTAAGATAGAAAACTGCTTCTGTAAAGATTCACCGAAACCAGTGTCATTTTCAAACGAATTTGGACAAGTTGATAGTTGCGAGGAGAGATAATAAGAAAAGCTGTATTTGCTGATGAAAAATAAGACAGCTGGTACATGTTTCATTAAACAGCATACTGAATGAATAATAGGAAAATGAAGTAAAATACTGCTTTACTTTGAATGACAACAGGAACAAAAATGAAAATAATAATTGTTTTCTGAAAGGCAAAACAAAAATAAGGAGCAACAAATTATTCCAGGCAAGGATTGGAGAGTTTTTAACAAAACTCTGATCGAGAATTCCAGAAAACAAGGAAGAACATTTAGTCATTATCAATAATGCAAAACTTGTAAACTAAAGATGTGAAGCAGTTGCAGTTATGCTCGAAAGAGTTAAGATAAATGACTCAAAATCTACCACAAAAACTTTTATTCAAAAATTTGGTTTGATTCATATGTCTTTCAATATTTGTCACCAATATTAAAAAAAATTTTTTTGGAAAAAATTTTTTGTGATTTGACGGGACGCTTCACTAAAAGAATTAAATTAATTTTTGTTGAAATTGACTAAATTACTAAATGTCGCTTTTTTGATGATCATAAAGATTGATAAATTTTTATAATATTGTAGGCAAAACGAAATCTATCATTTTTTAACAAACTACTTTCTCTTCTATATTACAGATTTATCCTCGCAACAGAAACTCGGTTTATCCAGCTACGATAGTTGCAGTGGCGATCTTGGAAAAATATAACTTTTTCCCCTGTATAGTTGGTAGTAGAAGGTAAAAGGTGAAAACAAAATAACTGCAGCTGCTTTTTGAAAATGCAATGCTTAAGTAATCTTAAGTAAAAAAAAAGTCTACCATTGAAAATAAAGCAAAAAATTAAGAGGTTAAAGGAATCAAATTATACATTCGATAAACAATGAACAACAATATACGACCCATAAAAGCTCTGGGCTTAAAATTTTGAAAAGAAGACTTATTTTTTGAATTACCTGTGAGATGGAATTCAGTAATAACTTTCGAACAATGATTTTAAGAGAAACACTAATTTAAACATTGACACATACAGAAGACATATATGACAAACACTTTAGATGTAATAATCACTACACTTGAACTGCAAAATTGAAAATTTGCCTTAGAAGCTGGACAAGATCAACTAGTTTTTTCCAGTTCATATGCAAATTACCTAATTCACTTTTGTCTTTAACTAATTGTCTCACGATACATTAATGATGTTTCACAAGTATGTTTTTTAGCGAAAAGGTTTTGAAAAATCTTTAAAAACCTCTTTTCTTCATTAATTCATAAACGATACCAATCATATTAAATAAGAAATGATTTTTTTATTGTGTTTTGTGAATCAAGTTTGAAGTAAAAGTCCTGCAAAAAATAGAAGTGGCCTGAGATCTATGTAGGTCCAAAAAATAAAACTTAGAAAAGACTATTTCCTTTTCTACAGTTCAGACCTTCTCCTGTCGATTTTATCCAGAACCCACTGAACTATATCTGTACTAGCCATTCCACCGTCATAATTAACTGCATCGTCAGCACTAGAACCAGAATCGAAATATTTAATAGTAGGTAAAGCTCTGATAATAAATTTCTTTGCCATCCCTGGGTTAGCAATTACATCAAGCGCTCCAAACTTAAATTGTAAGTGATTAATTCCTAACAGCTGCGCAAAAAAAAACAAAAACAAACAACAACTAAATAACTAACCTAAATTGGTCTAAACAGCAAATAAATTACCACAAGAAAAAATACGATAAATGATAGTCAAATCCTACAGATAAACTTAGCAGAAAGTACAACAAAAAACTGAAATTCTTGCTTACCTTAATTTTGTCTTTAAGCTTTGCAGCTGCTTGATTCCACTGTGGTTTAAACTTTTTACATTTTCTACAGTACGGCGAGAAGAACTCAACAAGCCACTTATCACCACTGTTTAAGACTGTGGTTTCAAAGTTGCTGTCATTTAAGTTAACAACGTTGCCGCCACTGTCAATCTCATTCTGGCCATTAACGTCGACAGCAGTAACAAACTTTAAGACATGAACGCCTAAATTAAATTCTATGTATAAACGTAAGTAATAAGTTTCGGCAATTTCTCATTGTAGGTCAAGCAACTAAAAAGTAAATTAAAAAATTTATTGTACTATTTCGAATTATCACCCTTCCTTCATATCTGCAAGAACAAAGCCTAAAACTTCAAAACTACTTTAGGCTTTTTCCAAAAATTATCTATACATATTCACTGAGAAATAATCGATGAATAACTGGTAAAGTAAACTAAATAAGGAGAGTTAACCCTGACAAGGTACACCTAATGAAATTGTATACCATAGATGAATAGAGAGCGTTCTGAGTGAATGTGGCCTGGTGATTTACATATCAACCACGTCAGCTGTAGGTACTTAAGCAAAATTGGAACTGGCTGAATAACCAGGATTTCAATACTGTGCCTGAACGACCTAATTTCTCCGTATCGTTCAAAGCGTAAGAATTGCTCCATACCAAAAAAACCAAAGAAAACAATTTTTTGCCAAGCAGTTCTTTTCTTTCCGAGTGATAATTCAAACAATTTACAATTCAGGAACAAAACAATAAATTTATGAAATCTCACCAGAATTAAAAAATTATGAGAAAAGCATTTCCGGTAACATTGATAACTGAGATAACGTGCAAGGCAAAATACTTCTCATATTAGCTTGAATTCTAACTTTGATTTTCTGCTTAAGCAGAAACCTAATAGTTATCGCTTCAGTAAGATGAAGTGACCAACCGAAAGCACTACTGAACTACAGAAAGAACACGCAAAAAATATATATATATATATATAATTTTTTAAAGAAGCAATTGTATTTTGAGACTGCCTTTTTTTTAGGAATAAATCTTCCAAACTAGACTTCATTGACAGGAACACTTTTTTTTAAGAATCAAAGAAATTTCATTATAAATTCTTGGTTGTGCGCTGTAAATGAGAAATTAATTTCTTTGATATCTTCTCAAAGTGATATGTTTTCAAAACACGTGAAAAATTGTGATAAAAGAAGAATAAAAATAAGGCAGAAAAAAAAAGAAAAAGGGGAAAATACAATATTGTATGCAAGTAAAAGTAGGGAAAAGAAACAACAGTAAGCTTACAGGAAGATTATACTGTTATTGAATTGCAAATAGAATTTATTGGTTATT